CTCTTGTTTGTTCTGCAGGATGCAGAGACCAACAGAAAACCGTCTCTAAGGAGCTCCAATCATCCTGGGGGCCCTGACTGAGGACCAGCTGTTATTCCCAGGGCATGTTTATATTTCTTTTAGCAAGAAATATTAAAGAGTCGCCCCACTCGGCCATAAAACCTGCACACAGAAATCTGAACTCAGGCTGGGGGCTCCCTCCATATTGTTCCTTTTATTGTCCAAAACAGCCTTTATTATCCTTATCCTCCTCAGACTGGTGGTTTCATGTGTCTTTACTGAGTAATTTAAATTTTATAATGAACTTGTTATGACCGTCAGAATCAAATTAAACACAAAGCTGACTGTGTCTATATGAGGAAAAACTACCATGACAGAGTCTGGTTATCTAACTAGTGAACACCAGATGAAAGCTGGGCTCACAGGAGGATAACAGGCTCACATTTTTTGGTGTTTTTGTCCTGTCTCCATGGTTGTCTTGTAATTTCCTGTTTTATTTTGAAAGATACATCCCCTTGTTTCAGGTCTCTTGCACTCCCCTGTGTGTCACCTGTCTGATTGTCTTCCCTGATCCCTGATTGTGTTCCCCTGGGGTTCCCTTCCCTTGACTCTCCTTGTCTGGTTTTGTCTCTTGACCCAAACTGTGCATTAACTTTGTCCTCGAACCATACCTCGCCTTGAGCCCTTCCTTGTGTTTCCTCGTCAGAGGGAATTTAGTTTGTACTTTGTTATGGCTTTGTCTGCCTCGTTTTCAAGAGTTATTCTTATTTTGTACTTTGCCTTTAGTTTAATTAAAGTTTTTGCCAAAGACTTCTACATCTGAGTCCTGCCTTGAGTTCCTATTTCTGACGCACTGAAGTTTGAGTGTTGTGCCTCACTTCTTAATCTCTTTTGGTAACGAAACGAAAGGAAAACCAAGCTCGCCAGCATCTTTTGCAGCTGATCGCAGCAGAAACTAGGAAGGGAAACTGACCACGTCGCTCTTGGTGGTGTAGACGCGGTCGGCCAGGCTTTCGATGGCGATCCACTTGACCGGCATCTTGGAGATCCTCCCCTGTCGGTAGTAGTCGCCGTTGTAGATCTTCTTGGAGAGGCCGAAGTCAGCCACGCACACGTTCATGTTCTCGTTCAGCCTGCAAAAAGAGGGGCAAAAGGTCAGTTTAAAAGGTCACTTCAAACCAGGGGTGCCCAGCTCTGGCCCAAAGAGGACCGGCTTTGGACAAGCCTGCTTCAAACTGGTGATCAGAAGGGCACAGTTATCTTATAAACTAGGCGCCTAGTTCATTGACCCCAACCCTAATCATCTAACCCTCATTGATTCTCACAGCTCCACAGCTTTTTTTTTTGGAGGTTAACCTCTTAAATATGCCACAAACCGCTTGACTCAATTTGCACTCCCCCTATGCCGGTTAGTGCAATTTGCTACGGACATAGTAAATAAACTAGTAAAAAAAAAGGATGAATGAATAAGGAAAAAAATTTCACTGTTATATTACTGTGTTATTGTGTACTGACCCCTAATAGACCATTATGCCTGTTGTCCCAAATACCAAAATAACAACATTTCTATTTATTTTTTTGTGCAAAAGTAAAATGAAAAATCTCAACATTATTTACCATCTACTTAAAGGCTAAAACATAGTATATTTTAGGTTTGTCCCGATCCGATATCTGGATTGGATCGGCCGGCAGGAGAAAATGCAGATCCAGACTCCAGATATATATAGACTCCGATTCCACACAAGCATTAGCTTTAGCATTAGCATCTCCTAACCCACAGGTCTGTGTCCTAACCATTAAGTTGTTATCAGAGTAAATCCCTGTTCAACATGAGTCTGACAACTAAGTAAGTAGATAAATAACTTTAAACTTTAACACATGCTCTGATAGGCCGGGATACATATAAATAAATTCTGGCTCAAAGGGGTTAAGAAGAGACAGAGCGAGGGAAAAAAGCCTCTGATGCTCACATGCAGTTGCGCGCGGCCAGGTCTCTGTGGATGAAGCTCTTGCTGCTCAGGTACTCCATCCCCCGGGCGATGTCGGTCATGAACTTCACCAGCATGTGCGCCGGGAGGTACTGCGGGGTGAGAGAGAGAGGCAGCAATTAGCCGTCTGACCAGCAGGGGGCGCCAGAGGCCCGCCCTCCGGGGGTCATGTGACCCTCCGGAGGGAACATTGGTTCCTGAACGGTTTTCGAGTTGGCTGAACTCCACTGCTCAGATCAAGTACATATCACCAAGGATGGATATCCAACTCCACCCACATCCAAGTCAGCCATTTTGATTAGGTCACCAATAG